CGCCCACTCCCCCCACATTTCCCATCACTTTTTCCTGAACAACTTCATATTCTATTTTTATTATTTTAGGTCTTTTTGAAGCAGGGTCTCCCTATAGCCCCAGCTGGCCTGGAACTCACTGTAGACCAGGCTGGACTTAAACTCAGAGATCTGCCTGATTAAAGAAAGGTGTGTGCCACCATGCCCGGCTTATTTTTCTTGTATGTATGAAGTATATTGCCTGCATGTATATAAGTGCACCCATGTTGTGCAATGCCCGCAGAGGTCAGAAAAGGGTGTCAGATCAAGCCCCTGGAACTGGAGTTATAGACGGTTGTTAGCCATCAGGTGGGTGCTGGGAACCAAGCCTGGGTCCTTTGCAAGAGCAGCCAGTGCTCTTAACCACTAAGCCATCTCTCCAGCAATCCCCCCTCCCCATTCATGTTTTGAAATCTTAATAGTAAACATATCACCTGAGTGTTCAAGCACTTGGCAAGACTTTTTTGACACGGGTAAAACTAACATCTGATCATACAAAAATGACTGTCTGGTCTGCATTTCAGTGTATTTGTGTGGCGATGTCTGTAAATGCCAGAATCTCTTGCAATATTCCGACTGCCTCCTTGCCATCAGCTGCTGGGGAATGCCTGTGATGCTGTGGGATGCACAAGCTACAAATGCTGGCGTGGTGGTAGGACTGTCTGCAATCTGGACTTCAAGACTGTGATGCCAAGAAGGAAGGTAAAATCCTCCAATGTTAAGGCTGCTGCCTCTGTTCCTGAGACAAAACAATACTTCAACTACACTAACAATGAAATCCTATCTGATGATGTAGCCCACTGACAAAATTTACAGCCTCAGTTACCCTAACCAGTATGTAGCTTTTAATTTGCATCAAAACTTTTACAAGGGTGTTTTGCTATTCTGTTTCTATATACTTCAAGATTGTTCATTTTTACAAATAAGTTGAATAAGACAGCTTGAGTTGGAAGCACTTAAGTACAGAAATATTGACAGCCTGTTCACCACATTTAGCTTTCAAAACCAAATGAGCCATGTATAAACAAGTTGAGAAACTTAATTTTTACAAGTTTCATTTGCAGTTTTATATCCATTAAGTGCCTTTGAAAGTTCCCAGTTGTGTGGGCTGCTGTCTCACCTCCCAGATCATCTCCTTTCTACACATGGTGCTAAAACTTCAACACTGAGGAGGGGCTACAGGACTAGCAGGCTAGGCTCACCGTCTGTCACTTATGTCCTGTGTGTATGTCTAGGATTTCTTAGTAAGAGACATCAGTTACCTGCTTGGGAAACAGTGGTTATAAGGAAGGTGAGCAGCAAAGGAACTTAAAAGTCAGTGGGAGATAGAATGGATTTTTATTATGTTAGTGCCAAATCCACAAAATCTGAAACAGAATTCAAACAAAACTCCTGCCACTCCTACAAAATGTAAAAGGGGGAAAACATTCTTGAGTGTTTCTAAGTGAATGAGCTGATTTGTCTTGCTAAATCTTAAAACGGTAGTGAGGTGACCAGAGGCTGCACTTGAGTTTACATCCTTGGGTAGGGTTGGCTTGGCTCCGCTGATTGTGTATGACTTATACAGTACATCTGAAGATTAAAAAAAAAAAAAAATCTGTGGAATAAATTCCTAACTACAAGGAATATTTGAATTTCCTCACAGAATGTAACTTGAACAATATTAAGTGAAAGCCAGCCCCTAAAGCCCCTCAGTTCCGTTTACAGAGCCAACTACTGACTGTGCAAGAGGGCTAAGAGCACTCACTGAAAGAAGGCTAGTGAGGGACAGGAGCCTCTGCGCATGCCACCTACTCCTTCCAGTCTGTGTATTAAATTCTGGGTCTTGAGTTCCTGGCTATCTGCAGTTGCCAATCTAGAGAAAGGGTGAAATGAAGCATTTTCAGTTAAAGAACAGATTATTACAATGTACCACAAAAGTGCTTCAGCATTGTTAATGGACTAGATTATTCATTAAGCTATTTTTACATGCCAATTTATTAATGCCTTACATTAATCCACCAGTAGGTTGTTGGACCCATAGTAGAGTCCCTATGCAGCCCTAATTCTGTTCTTTGTAACTGGTGATGCTGAGTGATAACCATGTCTGCCTATACTGTACTACTGACTTCATTCTGACCAGATCTCGCATTTAAGTAATTATGTGAACAATGAACCAATCAATGCTATGTACAAGTGTATTTACAGAGCAATAGTGTCTATGTGTCAAGACTTCTAAAGTCTTATTTGTAAACATTTATATGGTATAATTTTATGTACATTCATAAATCTTGCACTGTATTCTGTTAAAATATTGGTGCATGAATTTATTTTCAGTCAAAGCATAAAAAAATTTAAAACGTTTTGGTATGGGTCAAATAAATTTGACTATGAAAATATGTTCTTTGTTCTTTAGCTGTTCCATGAATTGAAAACCTTTATAAAAGTGTGTGTTACACACGCTGTTTACCACAGTTTTCTACCCACTACCCGCCCCATGCATTCATGAAACCAAACTACCACGCAAACACATTTTGAGTCTATAAGCTTTATTGATACTTTGCTTTTACAGTTCACAATGCATTCCACGGATTTAATTCAGTACAGCTTAAACCACAATGGTATAAGTCTTCATTTTATGATTTCTTGCATAACAGTATTTGATACCTGCAAACATTTTGAAAGCATTAAATTCAGTCCATTAGATTCAGTTGTGACAAAATTAACTATACAGTAAATCTCTGCAATGAAGTTGGAGTTCCATGTGTGTGGCATTGTTTCGTTGAAAACAGATGGTAGTGCTCCTAGAAATGTTTTCTTTTCCTAGTTTATGTGCTTTGAGACTATACATGTATAACCAATGACTCAAATGTCAAGCACTGTGGGTCAGCTGGAAGGTAAAGATCTAAATTTTGTGAAACACTATATATAGATTATATCTATAATATTTACTTATATTGGCAATATAACAGTAAAATTCACAACACACCTAGAACATACCAAAAGACAGTGTGGTATGATCTTGTCTAAACATTTCAGAAAAATCTGCATCATTTTACACCAACCATACACAGCGCACAAACTGTGAAAAGGGTTTGTTTTTTTTTTTCAGCTTCACCTTCTCTGCAACGTCCCAAAACACAGCAAGACTACCTGCAACAAAATGTAATATACAGCTTTCTCAGAGCACGCTTTTATTCACCAGTGCCTCATATAGGAAAAAACAAATATGATTAACAAATCCATACATAGCAGCTTACAATACTTAAGATGATAAACACAGGGAAGTTAAGACAGGAAATTTTTCCTTAAACAGTGCATTGCTAAAAATAAAGATCTGACTCTGCACTGCAATGCCAAGGGCTCATTCTTCCCTGACACCCCCCCCCCCAAAATCAAAATAAATATCCCCTTTAAAAATAACCTCTTACTTTTATTTGTTTGGGGCTTTTTATTTCACTTTTTTGACCCCCCCCCCCCCAATAATCAAATGAATATCCCCTTTAAAGATGAACTCCTACTGTTAATTGTTTGGGGCTTTTTCATTCAGCTTTGCGCTTCAGTCCAGGGATTTTCGCTTGGATTCTACAAATGAAAAGAAAAATGTCAAATTACTATGTTTCCTGCTTCTGAAGGGAAGAAGGAAGAAAGTTGTAAATTGTACTTACTTAGCCATAGCATCTTTAACATTCTTATTTGCAAGTCCTAGATAGTGGTCTATCTGTTCCTGAGAGAGGAAATAAAAGCCATTAAAAAGTTACTGTTGTTAAAGACTATTAAGTGGTACTACATGCCAACAAATTAAAGGCTTAAGGCCATTACATTTCTTAAGATTTTGGAAACTAGCTTCTGAAATCAACAGTTAAATTACCTGATGCCGTTCATAAATAACAGGAATACTGAAGAGTGAAATCAGAGCTGAAAAAGGAAACAACTTTTTAAAAGACTAGTATAATTTAGAGAGTAATGAACTATACAAACTGACAGGTAAGCAGGCAGGACTCCTAATGACTGAATAAATGCACAAGACCTGTATATGCTATGTCTAGCTCAAATCACATCACACAGATTCTAGAGGATACAGGTACCCCCACTTAAACTCAGGACCACACCATCAGGTAAAGTAGCATTTCAATAAAACAGTATCATTATCAGCTATTTAAAGGCTGACGTGTATATTCCTTTTTTCTCACAGTAAGAATATTCTGTACCAAACTGTCTCTAAGGGCCTTCCAGTCTTTTATTCTCAAATTTTTCATTCCAGTGGTTTTGTGGACTTACCTAAAATCAGTAGTGTTAGACCATTGAACAAGGCACCAACGTAAGTAAATACCCACATCAACACTGCAAACTGTAAGCAAACAAGAGCCAAGAGCCCATGATCAGCAAAATTCAAGCAAATGTTCTTAAGTGTTCCCCAAAAAGTATCCCTCTAAATGGCAGTCTACCAGAGCATATCCCTTGAAAATGAATGAAGTCATACAAATGCCTCACTTCGTCTGTTATCAGTGCTAAAAGAAGTGCTTGGGAAAATATATCTATGAGCCGAGTAATTCAGGCTCTAAAATGTCAAGCATCTAATAAGCAATAATAATTCAAGGAACACTTATTAGGAAACTTAAAAATATTAGATCAAACACTGCTCAGTGATACATGTTTAAAGGCCATGGTTACCTTGAGAAGGAGGATGTGTCAAACTTTTATAACTATTAATATAATTGACTACTATTCTTTATCCAACATCATTATGTGCTGGACACTGCAAACATAAAGTCATTCATTCCTCTGAACGTCCTCAGAGGTACTGTTATCATTACCACAGCATATACAGACACTAAAGCAGTGAGAGGTTTAAAAAAGTTGCCTGACATCAAGTTACAGCAATACAGGTTTCTTTCAGAGGCCAGAGATTGTAACAAACCAAATAACAGTAATCCTGGCTTTAAATTTTTAAGATTTAAAAAAAAAAAAATACACAAAATAAACAAAAACATCAAATGAGGTAGTCTATAAAAGGCTTTGCTTCTAAAACACAATTTCATTTTGGAAAGTCCTGATTTTCTTTTCTCTTTATTCTTTATAATTTTGCCTAGTCATTTATGAATAGTTTTCTTCCACTTCTAAAACTTCTATGATATACAGTACAGCTCAGTCAATGGCACCTTACAGCTCAATGACATGTTCAAAACAATCAGGACTTCCAAGCACTATCAGTAATTACTACAAATTAGCTGCTAAGCAAGGCAAGTACCTTCAAGGGCAGACTTCTGTATCAAGACTTTAATACAGAAGTATCCTTTCCACTGTTTTAGCTTAAACTTTTAAAAAAATATTTTTTTTTCTGTATGAGGCTATTGCCTGCATGTATGTTAAGTGCAGCTGTGTTATGCAATGCCCACTGACGTCAGAAGGTGGTGTTGGAGCCCCTGGGACTGGAGTTATGAACAGTTGTTAGCCACCAGGTGGGTGCTGGGAACTGACCCACCAGGTCCTCTGCAAGAGCAGTCAGTGCTCTTAACCACTGAGCCATCTCTCCAGCCCCTCAGCTTAAACTTTATAGTGCAAACTGATCATGCTCAGAAACATTCCTATCCATCACTCTAACTCCTTGCCTCCTGTAGATAATAATCCTACACTTTGTTATCACTATGCTTGCTTTGGCTTTGCACTTGTAGAGGTAAAACTATTGCATTGTTACCCTTTGCTTCCTAATTCAAAGCCTGTGTCTGGCTACAGCTGTGGCTTATTTAGGAGGCAACAAACATTGCCATGATACCACTATCTATGATGATCATTTAGGCATATGTAAAATAGTACAGATGGAGAGCAGAGTTAATGGGCACCTCCATCAGCTAAAGGTAGAACCCACAAATTTTCCAAAGAACCACATAGTAAACATTTTAGGGTTTATAGGCCTCTATGTCATATCATTTTTGCTTCCCCCCCCCCCGCGTGACCTTTAAAACTGGAAGCCACTATTCTTCAGTCCCAAGTTGTTGTATGAAACAGGCAGTAGTTCCCTATCTTAATCTAATGTGCACCTTCTTCCATATATTCAGTCAGTCAAAGAAATAAGATTGAATGCCTAGTATGAGCAGGGTACTGAAATTAAAGTATTCAAATTCTAGTAAGCACATGTACTGTGGATTAGGAAGGCCCTTTGGATTTTTTTTTTTTTTTTAAGATTTCTACAAAGAGTAACATTCTAATCACGCCTTAACTGACTTGCACATCCAAGTGAAAAAATGTTAGGCATTCTTACTTGAAAATAAAAAAAAAAATTTAATGCTGCCCTATTCTTAGCCACTGTACAGAACCTCTGGTAGGAAAGTCTGAAGGATTACTCTACTAGCACATCTTTTCCCCCACTCACATAGTTTTATAGCTTCCTACTGCAGAAGCTAAATATAACTTGTACACTTGAGCAAGTTTATAACAGAGCTACAGAGCTAACTATTTTCATCCATCACAGTCTACAAGTCTGAAAAGAGTCAACCCCGTATTTTAAAAGAAATTGCTTTAGCATGGATACTTGCATTCTGTAATAGTACACATAAGCTACAAAGTTCTAATTTATTCATTACAGCCACTTGACAAGGTTGTACTCTAAACTTACACAAGGAGAGTGACTTCACTCTGCTAAACCTTCAAATGTTACTTGCCTCTTCAAGAACACTCCTAAAAGCCAGATTACTGAGACAGAGGCTTAGCGTCCAATGTCTTTGGAGCCAGGAAAGTAACTACATGAGAAAGGCTGGGGCACATGACTGAGGAAACTCACGACCCAGCTCCATGTACTGTAGCCATGGAGTGATCTAAGCCAATGACCATTTTTTCCCATTCTAAGAAGGAAATCAGAAATTTACATTTTATGTGCTACCAGAGAAGTTTTAAATATTATAGCTGCATTTGGAGAAAATGTATTCTGTGGGCCCAAATTCTAAACATTTCCAGAAAACAATCATCAAGAGAGAAAGGTACAGTAAGAATTAGAATTGAAGCTGGGTATGGTGGCACACGCCTTTAATCACAGCACCCAGGAGACAGAGGCAGGCAGATCTCTGAGTTCAAGGCCAGCCTGGTCTACAAAGTGAGTTCCAGGCCAGCTGTAGCTGCAGGGAGACCCTGACTCAAAAAGATTTAAAAAAAAAAAAAAAAATTTTTTTTTTTTTTTTTAAAAGCATTGAGCCAGGATAGGATGCGGGAAATCATAGGAAATTCAGGCCCTTTCTCCTAGATCTCACTTGCCCATCCTGCTGATGGAGTCAGAAAATTTCAGGCACCACTGAGACAAAATATGTTTTCCAAAAGACATCTTAAAATATGTTTTCCAAAAGACATCTTAAAGGACAGTAAATTTTAAGCTTGCTTGGGGCCAAAATGATGTATAACCTTGAGTTCTCAGCATTCTTTCTTTCTTTCCTAAAAAATATCCTTCATAAGTCCATTATACAATTGTGTTTACAGAAGAAATTCTTTAACATTTAACCTTTTCTAAACTACATCTGAGTAATGTTAAATGGGGCCAAGGGAGCTAGGGAGATGGCTCAGCGGGTAAAGCATTAGTGGTCCAAGCATCGACTGGAGTTTCTGATCCTTAGAAACTCATGTAAATGCCATTGGGCATGGCAGCCCACCCAAAATTCCAGCCTCAGAAGGTGGGGGTCCTGTCAAAAGACCTTCCTTGATGAGTAAAGTAGAAGACACACACACACACACACACACACAAACCAAAAAAAAAAAAAAAAAAAAAAGGAAAGAAGTTTAAAGAGGGGGTATTTCTTGGCCATCTTTAGCCATTTACCTTGAGAGCCACCAAAATCTGGTATACACCCATTGTAAAGACACAGAATTGTGACTGTTCCTTGAGAAGCCACACGTTCTAGGTGTGCTGTATCCTTTGAGCAACTTTTTTTTTAAAAATAAGAGTTTAAAAAAATTATTTATGCACATGCTGTGTGTGTGCAGTGCCGACAGAGGCCAGAAGACACTGGATCCTGTGGAGCAGAATTCGGGTCCTCTGGAAGAGGA